CCCAGTTTGGCAAATTGCTAAATTCCTGCACCTTGAATGTTCATATCAGCAAAGTGGACCAGAGGAGATCATCTTGTTCCAGGGTCACATGATAGTGAGTGCAGAGCCTGGGACAAATGTCAGCTGCCTTTACCCATCTCGTGCAGAGGCCTGAGTGGCAGATAACTTCCGAATTACAGAATTCCTGGCTGAACAGAGAGTAGACATGTATTCCAACCCTTGCTTTTCCAGAAGGGGAAACTGAGGCCCACTGAGGTCAGACCTGAGCTGGCACCAGGACTCAGGACTGGAGACTCAGGATGACCACTGTGTCAGCACGCACGGGGTCCCCACCCACCCGCCAGCCACTCTTCAGAGGCCCCATGGGGAAGAAGTCCAGGCGGCATTACCTTTGAGGCCTGGGACGAGAATCTGCACGGAGCAGGCGTCGTCCGCTGTCTGCTGAGGATCTCCAGACGGGACCAGTGACAGGAAGGCCAGGCTAATGAGGGCCAGCTCCCTCTTCATAATGAGCGCTGGCAGGGCACTGACTCCTGGAGGAAGGAAGGAATAAACAGTGACGGGAATTCCGAAAGCCAGGACAGCGAGTGAGAGTGTGCAGGCCATGCTGGGCTCACGGCCACCCCCCGGGGCCAAGGGCGCTCGAAGCTGTCGTGGCGGGCTCCCGCTGTTCTGATTTTTCTCTCTTTTTGCGGTCCTGTGAGGTGTTCCACGATGCTCTCTTCTAGTTCTTTATGGCTGACACGTTACACACAAAGGCTCCATTATAGTCCATGAGGTCAGGACACCTGCCTGCTCCACCAGCCTCACAAGCCAGGTCTGGCCACCCGCTGCCATCTACCTGGTCCCTTGCACAGGGCACCACTCTTCTGGACAGTGAGCTCAGCTTGGTCTTGCTGATTTTTAAATAGCATCACCACACGGATATGCTAGTCCTTACACAGTAGGTTGCGTGGTTGTGCGCAGTCTGAGTTTCACAAGACAGCGTGTTACACCATGTGGGGTGCTCTGGACTGGACTTTCTGCCCCACACAGCACCCAGGCTCACCTGTGTTGCTCCAGGCAGCTCCGGCTCCCTGACCACCAGGGTGGGATGGGGTGGAGTTGGAAGGGACAGGACACTGCTGGCCCTGTGTCACTCGGGGAGCTCCTGCCAACCCTCCCTACCACGTGGGACTCACTGACCCCACTGCCACTCACGCATCCCTGTCCATCCCAGGCCGGCCCTGATCCTGGTCAGCTCTGAGGTCCTACCAGCAGAGCTGATGGGGGGTGACCCTGGGCTGGAGGCTGTTCCCACCTTCCCCACCCCCACTCCCATCCGGGCCCTTCCCCACCACTGTCCTGGCTCCCTCCTGGCTTCTGGGAAGAGGAATTTCCTTTTATAAGCGGAGAAGCCACAGCCCCTCCTGAGCCTCTGAGGCTGGGACCCTCCTGTCAGTGAAGGAGACGGCCCTCAGAGGGGAAAGAGATTCCACTGGATTCTCAGCAGGAACGCAGATCAAGGATGAAATCAACAGCGGAAATAAAAGGTTTAATTTGCCAAACATACAATTAATTGTATAATTGATTGAACATCTGCAGCAGGGCCAGCACTGTACAGACACGTCTCACCTGTGGAGGACCATGCCCAGGAAAGCTCGAGCGCTCAGGACCGCAGCCCACGGGCCCCCACCGGGGACTAGGGGCCTCGCAGGGGCTGCGGCAAGGACAGGTCCCACCCCCAATGGCACACGTCTTTCTTGTCTTTTTGCCGAGACCACAGACTAAGCAGAGGTCTTTCCCCATTTTTTCCCTAGCTTTACACAAATCCTGTCTGTTCTCTTCTGAGGGACATGGGCTTTTCAAATTGTAAATAAATTGAACAGCCATGGAAGTCTGGGTGCTGCTCTGCCTCCGGCCGGCAGAGTCTCCCCATTGCACGGAGAACTGTCAAGCGGTGTGTGCACGTTCAGAGCTCACCCGACTTCTGCCTCACAGGACGGCCAGTTCCATGGGCCAGGTGTCTGGCAGGAAGGGCCGCTGGGGACCCTTTGTCTCATCCAGTTTTGGAGATCAGGTGGCCCTGCTCTGCCTGTCCCCCACATCTGGGGTCCCCATTACTGAGCTACTGGTCTCTGAGCACAGGTCATCCACGTGGCCCCACTGGCAGGTGGGCAACAAGCAAACCTGACCCTGGGATGGCTGCTCAGGGACAATTCGTGGATCCTGCGGCCACATTTCCCACTGGACTGGGAATGAGGGAAGAAGTAGCTTTGCCTTTTTGAATCTATGGAACCCGAGGGGGATCACCTCCCAGCTGGACCCAGGTCCCTGTCGTGGTGACCTCCCCGGGAACTGGTGAGTCACACCCGGAATCCTGGCCTTGATGGACTTGGACTCGTGCCTCTGCCTGGATCTCAGCAGAGAGCCCACGTCCCCTCCACCCAGTTTCTGCTGCTGACTGGACCCCGGCTTCCTAGCTCAGCCTCACCCCAGTGCTTAACCCATCCAAAGCGGCAAAGTCACTGGCCAGGGTGTCCCCTACCTGAGACGAAGGCACGTCCTGACTGTGGGGGGCCCACGAGGACACTGAGCCCAGCACCCTCATGGCTGCTATTTACAGGCCCTCGCGGCCACAGCCCCACACAGAGGGGAGCGTGGCTGGGCTGTCCCACCGCCCAGCAAATCAGGCTGGGCGTCCAGGGTGATATCTGCAAACAGCTTCCTGTTTAAAACCCTCGCTGTCCTNAGCCAGGGCTCCGGTGCGGGCCCCATAGAGCCCTAACTCCCCACCCCCGGCCCCGTATCTGTTCTTCCTGCCACTCAGCATAACACCCCCAGGTTTCCCCTCTATGCAGCCGGTGAGAATTCCTTTCCTTTCAGAGGCTGAATGATACTCTGTTATATGTATCATGGTTTCTTTCTTTTTTCCAGTTTCCCTTGTAGTTGAAGGTATTGGATGCCCCCTTTCTTCCCCATTGATCCTCCGTACCCCTCCCCGCAGGCCTTCACCACACTATTGTCTGTCTGTGGGTTATGCAAATAAGTTCTTAGGTGAACCCGTCCCCCTCATTTCCTCTGAGACCCCTCTGCCTGCTCCGTGCTTCCATCTCTGGATCTATTTTGTTCACTAGATTCCATGAGTGAGATCAGGTGTGTATCACGTTTTCACCCATGCGTGCACACCTGGGTCACTGCCACGCTTTGGCTGCTGTGAACATGGGCGAGTCTCTCTCTTGAGACCCTGCCCGCAGTTCTGGGGGGCTGTGTCCAGATGTGGGGCTGCTGGCAGCCTTGCGTGTGCTTTCCCAAGGTCACGCCTCCCTCCTCCACCCCGTCTGTCTCACAGCTTCAGTGGGCACCTACCTTTTGTTTTTATGTCCTGAAATGTTAAAGGTGTTTTTTTTAAGTGTCAATAATTAATCTCAGACACAAAACCAAGTGATATTATCCTAACCTGCCTACTTCAAGTGGATTGTTAAGAACCCTTTTTAGATTACAGCTGTTCACCCACTGGTGCCTTGGGAATGAAACCAGTCCTTGGAAGTCACTAGGCGCCTCTCCTTTCAGCCTTGTCTTCCTCTCTTCCCTCCTCTGCCTGCTCTTTTTCTTAGAAGCACTGGTCCTGGCCCCTGGGAACGGCCTTTCCCCTCATGAACTCTGACCCTCCCGGCGACCACTTCCAGGGGCTGGAGAATCTGCAGCCTCCCAGTCACTATTTACATTTCCCAGGGATAGTGGAGAAACCTGGACACGAGCCAGGCCAGCCCATTTGCTCTGGATGGGAATTCTCCCTGGAGGTCAGAGCTGCGTAGCCCTATGCCCGGGACACTGCCCACAAGGACATTCACCACGGCCACCCTCCCTCCTCAGGACTGAGGGCTTCATTTCTTGGTTCCCTGGAGTGCAGAGCAACACGAGGCCTCCCTCCCTCCCTCCCTCCCAACAGTGCAGACTTGTGTCCCAGCCTATAGGGTGTACCCAAGCCCAGCCTGGTCACCCGTGGACAGCCTGAGAGCACAGGTGTCACTGCCAGAGCCCTCAGTGCTATGGCGCTCAGGCAGCTGGCCCCAAAGCCTTAAGGATGCAGCCAATGATGCTCATTCTGAAAACGTCTGGCCCTCACCAGCCCTTTTCTAGGCTTAGCGATGACCCTCTACCTGCCCAGACCTGGGACATCATGGGCAGCTGGTCACCTGCTGCTGCTCTGGGGCCCACACTTCACATGTCACCTCACCCACTGCCTTCATTTCTGGAGGAAAGCTAAGGACTCGAGTAGCTTACTTAGCTGTGCTATTCACACCACTTGGGTTAAATCTAATCACACTCTTATACTTGACTTTCCAAAAACCACGTAAGACCTAACATGGACTTGCATGTGAAAACCCATGACTCTGGGGGAGCAGAAAGGGTTGAATGTGTCTCGTTTCACTTCTGCAAGAGGAAAAGGTCTGGAGGTGTTTCATGACACTGAATGTGCCCTAATGCTACCAAACTGTCCACTTTAAAATGCCTAAGATAACAAACTTTGTACATTTATTAACCAGAAAATCAACTTAATGAATACAACACTTTCTCATCAGCTTTTGCTCTTGGGAAAAACCCGTCTCCACCGTGCAATTTTCAGGCAATTATTCTAGGCCAGTGTTTAGTTACTTCTGATGCCTTTCCTTTTTCTTACATGGAACTACTTCAAGCCTGGCTGCCTGGGGACAGTGAGTCACAGCACTGCTGGGAGCCAGGAGGGAAGGCTCAGTCCCATCTGCACCTTGATGGCCTGTGCTCTCCCAGGCTGGACCACCTGACTGCCCTGGGGACAGGAACTGCTGCTCTTCGGCAACTTCACCTGAAACACCTGTCATATCCCTGCTTCCAGCACGTCCCTCATACGTCTCACACCTCCTGGCACAAACTGCAGGACCCTGTTCAAAATCACCGGCCTGTGGAGGAAGCCACTGACAATGTAGAAAGCTGTACAACCATGTCTCTGAGATTTCGAAATACATGCCTGAACAGAATACTGAGAATAATATTTTATTTAGTCATTTTCGTTTACAACTGAAACTCTGGGAATTCAAAATTAACATCCTTGCCTGTGAGCTTCTTATAGACACCCGAGAAAGTTTCAACCTGTAAGAAAAACACACGAATCACTACAAATGGCAACTTTTAAATACACCCTCGTCTTTATGCTGATGGTCTGGGAAACTGCGCCCTGCAGGGCTCTCTCCCCAGCAAACAGGCTGAGAAGATGAGGAGCCCATAGGACGGGCTCTCGGAAGCCCCAAGACGGGGCCAGCTCCTCTCCAGAGCTGTGGGACAGGACCCGACACCACGCACCCGAGTGCTGTGCTCCTCTGGGCCACATGGACTGAGCCCCTGGGAGATCCCACTGTCCACATCGGGGACACCTCACCAGGAAAGAAGTGACAGTTCTCCCCAGATTCTACCCCTTCCCCCACCACACACAGCCTCACTAGAGTCAAACTCTAGGGTCACCCGACTTCCTATTTCCTAATAACCTGAAACACGCCCCAAGTTAAAACCTGGCACATAATCCAAAGGGACAATATGAGGTACAATGAAAAAGCTGCCCGTTTCCAATGCCCAGGCTGGTGGCCCAGGGAGCAGGCTTGCTGCCCTCCAGCCCATCTGTACCCGCCCCGCCCCGCCCAAGCAGCCGTCACCTTGTGCTCCACGTTGTTCTGCTGAGCTTTGTCCAAATGGACCTTGATGAGCCGGCTGCCGTCCAGCTTCACACGGATCCTCTTGCCCACAATTTCACTTGGGAAAACCAAGTCCTCCAGGATGGCGTCGTGCACGGCGGTCAGCGTGCGGCTAAAGAACAGCGACAAGGTAAGACCCCAGGAGAAGGCCTGCCCTCTGCTAAGCCCCAGCGACTGAGTCACAATGTAAGCAGCAAACTCCAGGTTCCCGAATCAGATGAACACTAGTTTTCAGATAGGCTACTTACACTTAATTCAGCAACCAGAGCTGCTGCCAAGCAGAAAGGGGTGACAAACACCCTGCTAAGTTATATGAAATGCCACCCATGTAAACTACAATCATCAAGCCACCTTGAGTGACTTGTCTCCAGGGAAGGGCGCTAGAGGACTTTTATCTTTGTACCTACCTGCAGGTTTACTTCCACATGTACAATTTCTCAACTAATCACTGCAGACCTCTTTACTAGTCTTACTCAAATCCAAACCACCCCTCCAATGTTGTCAGATTATCTAACATGTTCATGTGATCACATAATTCACCTACCAAAGAGCCTTCATGAGCTCTCTTGGCCTCTAAATACCACCATAACCCTCATTCTCACAGAAGGCAATGCCCCACCCCAAGAGATTGTTCCATCACCAGCTTGAGGACAGGAAGGGTCCCCAACTTCCAACCCGTCACCCTACCACACAAACTGCCAATGGAACCCTGCCCCCCCCC